TTGGCAGAGCTGTACACCTTGGATGGCTCCGATCTGTCCTCTGCCGGTCCTAGCTCAGCCCTTGCCCATGCCTGTGGGTGGTGCTTGCTTCTCTTCACTCCCACCTCTCCCACTTGCTTTCTGGTTCTAGTTCCCATTATCCCCCAGGCCCACTGGGCTTGGAGTTCCCAGAAGCCTCTTCCTTGGAGGGGTCCCTGTGGAGAGGCGTTTCCCTGACTGGGGAGGTAGGCCTGGGCCCTAGTTCTGGAGAAGCCCTTCCATGTCTGTCTCTCTGAGGAGGGTTCTTGCAACACCTCTGGATAGCTCAGGGTCCTGTTGATGGGACAGGCAGGGGGCTTTCCCCACAGGACCCACACCTGCTGGTGCTCTGTCCTGCAGCCATCCCCGGAGTAGGGCCCAGCCTCAGCACCCACCCAGACATCCCCAGAGCAGGGCCCGGCTCAATACCCACCCAGTCGTCCCTGGAGCAGGCACTAGCCATGGTGCCCAGCTAACTGTCTCTGGATGAAGGCCCAGCCTCAGAGCCTGCTGTTTCCCTGTTAAGGGCCAACAGCAGCTCTGTGGCTGCCTGTTAGTGATGTCTGGAGTGCTCTGGGTTTCCTTCAATACAGAGCAGACCTGAGGAGGGGCAGGTGCCTGGCCTTAACCCTCACTCCACTCCCTTTCCACCTGGAGCCCTGTCTGCCTTTAGTCAGTGGCTGTGGGGTTTTTTGATTTCCCATGGTTGCTTTGTGACTCAACTGCTTGTTGAGTGTGACTGGGAGTGAGACCTGGGCCACACCAGCTGGTCCTCATTGCAGCTGGGTGCCTGGGCAGTAGGCTCTGCACCAGTCCTGGCCACTGCCCAGATGGGGACGCTCCTGGCTCCAGAGAAACCATATGGGCTTCAGGGCAATTAGCTTTTGTCAAATTTGCCTGAGAAGACCTCCATGGAGATGTGCTTGACACTCGAGACCTGGTGGGAATGTCCTTTAAAATTCTGGAGGCCTTGTGTGGCCCTGTGCAGTGGACAACCTAGTGCAGGCCCTTGGAGCCAACATAGGGCTTTCTAGAACATCTGCCTCCCGTCTTTAGATCTCGGCAAGGCAGCAGTCCCGTCACTGAGATCTGATTAGACAGAGTGGCGTCATTATTGTTCACTAACGAGCCACTCAGTGTAATTTAACTGAATAAAGATGCACAAATGGCGCAGCCCCACCCCCTTTTACAGCAATGTAACTGAGAGAGGAGCAAATAAATCCTGGGTGCAGAAAGAAATTTTTTGGACTAGAGGAACCCTGGGCAGCTGCCCCTTTCCTCTGTCCCAGGCACAGGGATTTTCAGGGTTGACTCCAGTGCCAGGCAGGACTCAGTGCGAATGTACTTGGCATTTTCTGACTTCCGGGCTCCTTGTGACGTGATTGGTTTGCAGGGTGAGGGCTCAGTATGCACAGGTCACAGGGCCGAGATAGACGTAGAGGGCAGGAGTGGCGCTGCAGCTCTGTGCTTCTTTGAGGGCTGCTGTGCCAGGAAGCTGCCCTTGTTGGCTGCTCCTGCTTTCCTCCAGCAGTTTTAGGAACCCCTGTGGTGGAACAGGGGTGGGTCCCCTAGGACATGGCCTGAGTGTTTGCGTCCCCTGCAGTTCCCATGGTCAAGTCCTTGTCTGATCTTTCCACACCTGAGCTGTAGAGAGAAGGTGGCCATCATGGGACACAGCCCTGGGGCACCCCCAAAGTTGATGGAATTCAGAGAAGTGAGCTCTCATGTGTGCGTCTTTCCACAGTGACCTGAATGGAAGGGAGTAGGATAGATGGAAAGATGGGTGGAGGGTCTAAGGAAGGGGGAAAGAGCTTCCAGAAGGCTTCTTTTGTGGGAGACAGAGATAGGATTTCCACAGTGAAGGTTGCAGCCTATAGGCCACAGCCCTGGAGCCTGCATTTCTGTCAGCTGTGGGGATGCTTCAAGCCCTGGCTGCTGAGAGGGACTGGGGCAAGCAGCAGGGCAAAGCCCACAGGAAACCCCCCAGCAGGATTCATTGTTGGGCAGCAAGCAGAAGATGGTTGTGTACCTGGGTGTAGACATGTGAGTGGTGCTAGACTGGAAGTTGAATGGGAGGATCCCTAAAGCTTCTGGGCAAGGACAAAGTGAGGGAGACAAGGGCCACAGCTCATGGACTTTGTCATGGGGCAGCTGGCTTGGCTGTGAGGAGCTGAGAGCAGGTGCTCTGCTTGGCCTCAACCACTTCAGGGAGCACCTATTTGGAGGGCATTAGGGTTCCCCATGATGGGGTGCAACCCCTTCCTGCTGTGGTTGGGCCTGTCTACTGTCATGGGACTGGTCACCATGCACGATGTCCACTGGCCATAGGGAGGGAGGTCCCTGTTCACAGTAGGCTGTGTGTAGTATGCCTACTTGGCACTGTTGATGGTTCAGGGCAGCATTTGGCCAGGTATGTTAGCTCCTGTTCCCCCAGGAACGAATGGCCTCATTGTTACTATTTATTACCTCTGGACCCAGTGCTATGATGAAGCCAGTTGGGGTGTGAGGACCCAGTCATGATATGAAGGATCTAGTCGTGGTGCTGTGAGGACCCAGTCATTGTATGAGGTGTCCAGTCATGGTGCTGAGAACCTACTCAGGTTGCTATGAGAACCTACTCACGGTGCTGTGAAGACCCCCAGTCACGGTGCCTTGAGGATCCCAGCCACGGTGCTATGAGAACCTAGTCATGGTGCTGTGAGGACCCCCAGTCACGGTGCTGTGAGGACCCCCAGTCACAGTGCTGTGAGGATAGTCACGGTGCTATGAGAACCTACTCACGGTGCTGTGAGGACCCCAGTCACAGTGTTATAAGAACCTAGTCACGGTGCTGTGACGACCCAGTTAGTTTTCTTCTGGGCTCAGTCATGGTGTGAAGACAGCCAATTATGCTGAGATGGAGCCAGTTGTTCAAGATATAACTATGGTTGTGTTTGGGGTCTCAAAGAAACAAGAAGAGGCAGTATCCAGAGCTTGACATAAGAAATGTATTTGATACAACATTTCATAAAATCTTGCTCTCCAAATTACCTCAGTGGTCAGGTGGACTGGTCATTGACCCGTCAAGGAGTCTGAGTTGGCAGTAATGGTCTGTAAGGGAGGAGGCTGCCATGGGGCAGAGGTAGATAGGTTCTCCATGGAACTCTTGCCACACAGGTCCGGGAGACAGCACCTGAGAAAGGTGACAGGAACTCCAGTGAGGCACAGGTAGAGGGACCTTCAGGGCAGTGATGTTGAGGGTGGTCAGTCATAGAGAAGGCCTCTGCCACAGCTGAGGCCTCAGTGAGAGTTTTAATGCCTGTGAGGCTGGAGGGGCAGCCTGCTGCTTTCCTAGTACTCTCTGTATCTGGTGGGTGCGTGTGCAGCTGTACAGGTTTTGTCACTGCATCGTGCGCTCAGACGTGCAGCACAGTGAGTCTGGGAAATGTAGCAGTTTCCATCAACTGGTCCAGGGTGCCATTCTCCAGGTGGTACCCAGGCTTATGAGACTTTCCTGGGCACCCTGCCACATTCACTGTGAGTTGCACGAAGCAGACATGCTCTTTCTTGTTTTTCATTTGCTCAGAATGTCTATTACTTTCTTTCTTTCAGAATCCAGTTTTCTCCTAATGTTTCTGCCCAGTGTGGCAAAGCCTCCCTTTGTGAGTGAACCTTTCCTCTGGTCGCTCTCAGTCGTGGGCTCCCCAGAGCTGCTGCCAGCCCCCTGTCTGCTCCTCCTTGGAGAGGAAGCAAGCTTCAGGCAGCTTCTTGGCTGCCTGGGTCCCGCCAGTGGAGTCTATGTCTCTTCTGGGCGTGTTCTCCAAGGTTGGGTGGACCCAGGGCCTCTGGCAGCTGCTGGCTCTCTGCTGGTACTCTGCTCATGCTGGGGGCTTGGTTCAGGAGGTTCTAGAGGGGACTGGCTGATGCCCACAGCTCCAACACCTGTAGTGGGGGCCCCTGGTTGGTAATCTCTTCTAACCTTGGCCTGGAGTGCGCTGCAGCCACCTGACCTGTTCCTTCCCATCTTAGGCTCCTGTTCCTAAATGTGACTTCCTCACTGGAGTCCTTCCATTCCTGAGAACAAAATCCAGGGTCCTTCCCCACCCTCCCAAGCAGGCTCTCTTGGTCTTGCCCCTAGCATTGCTTCCTTCTCCCTTCCTGGCCCTCATCGTCTTGGGTGCGATACTTCTGCTGTGTAGTGGCCCCCTCAGTTCTCAGTTTCCCCTGGCATGCAGTGAGCCGTGGCCTCTGGGATGGTCTCTCTCTGAGCACTGCCTGTCTGGTCCTTGTGCTGTTTTGTTGCCACTGTTTTCCTTCTGCTTATTGCGGTGTAGCTAGGATGTGAGTCTCCACAGGGACCTCCTTCCTTCCCTCTGCGGTCCGTCCCCCATTCCTCAGCCTGTATTTGTCTTGTCTTGAAATTCTCATCGTGTAGGTCCTCTAAATACAAATGCATGTGTAGACCTGTGACACACAGTCGCATGGCCACATGCATGTAGACGACAGCCCAGCAGGTCTGGCATTACCGCCAGCAAGTGCCTCATACCTGGGGTGCTGCGGTGTCAGCAGCAGCCATTGGCTTCTGTGCATGGCTGGCAGAGGGACACACATGAGAGTTTCTTCTGTCTCCTGTAGGTCCTAATGGAACAGATTCAGTATTATCGGGGAAGAGCAGGTGTGAGCACAGGGCTCATGTCTGGATGCTCGATGGTGTGTAGGGGGTGGCTCTGCTAGGAGGATTTCAGGTGACTAGTGTGGGAGCAGTAGGTGCTGCTGGCTGGCAGTATCTGAGTACTCTCTGTCCATTCTGAGGAGGCCGGCTCACAAAGGCCCCTGGGCTGGTATGGGGGCATGTATGGGGCAGTGTGTTGCAGCTCAGAGTCCTTTCCAGACCTTACCTGTATACCCTGCCATCAACAGATCAGGGCTCCATGGCCATGGCCAGGTTTACCATCCAGTGTGAGATACAGGTCTGTTCTTTAACCTTTTTGTCCCTCTTGCAGAAACCTGTCGAGTAACCGGCTCACCACTCTCTCATGGCAGCTCTTCCAGACGCTGAGTCTCCGGGAACTGTAAGTTGTGTTTGGAAAGCTGAGCAGGTGGCTCAGGGACCGTGGTGGGTAGAAGTGGGCTGGGGAAGTGCCACGCAGTGGAGCCACCTGCAGGCTGGGTGAGCACCCGTGTGTGTCTGGGGGCTGGGTGCACACAGTGGGGCTCTTGGGCAGGAGGATAGTGCTTCCTGTTCAGTGAGAATGTCCCCTCCACCCGCAGGCCTGATTTCTGATGCTTTCTGGTCGTGGTGTGTTTCAGAAGTCAGGGCTTCCATCAAATGTGTAGGTGGGGCGAGGGTGGGGCTGATGTTTATGACTGAGAAGAGCTTTTGCCATTCTGTGATCACTGGAGCATCTGGTGAAAATGCCATTTATCTCACAAGAGGTCAGGGAGGTTGGCTCGGGTGAGGACTGTGGGCCTGGGAGCTTCAATAGGTACTTGAACCCAGACTCTCAGATGTGGACCACATGCCTTGTATACATGTGACTCCCATCCACCAGTGTGGCTGGGGTGAGGGAGTTGTGGAGGTTGAGTGTATGTTTGTCTGTGGGTGGACTGTGGCCTTACTGTGCTCTAGGACCAATCACTCCACTGCACCGAGCCGGTCATTCTGCACAGACACTGCACATGCTGGTGATGACCATCCCTGACCAGTGCTGGAAAAATCAGCCTATGTCAACATGGGAGTCACCTGCCATGGCTGTGAAAGTGCTGTTTCTGCTGTCCAGGGGAAAGAGGCTGAGGCTCGGACTCACACTCACAGCCTGCCTGAGGCTCCGCTGGGTGCTGGGCTCTCAGTGGCCCGTGCCCACACTTGAAGACCTGGGCTGCTGCTTCAGACTCCACCAGCTCTGCATGGACATTTAGACAGCTGTGGGTGCTGGCTTTGTTCTGGGAAGAACCCTGTGGTATCAGAGGCTCCACGGCTAGGGTGTGCCCTCCATCTGCTGCTGCTTGAGAGTGGGGATCCCTGTGCAGACAGGGTGGAGACAGGAGAACATGCTGTTGTTAAAGCACAGAGCACAGTGGGCTCTGCCACAGGCCGTCCTTGCTGTCCTTGTGGGTCCTTGTGCAGATGCATCCACCACGGTGCCCGGCAGTCACTGTATGTGGTGGTGCTGTGTGCTAAGGTAGGAGTCATCATTGCCACTTACAGGGAGTATGGTGTCCAGCGTGGGAGTACCCTGTGACAAGTGCAGTGTGACTGTGAGGCTGGGGCCTCCACGTGCGGCTGTCTTCAGCCTAGGCACCTGCTCAGCAATACCATGTGGGAAGGTCATTGTTTGGGTCCTAGGTCTCTGGGTCCTGTGGCTTCTGCCCACATCTGGAGGAGGCAGTGAGGAGACACAGGCCCTGCTGCTGCGGGAGTTGCTGAGCAGGTGCTGAGGTGAGTTCAGCGGTTGCCGCCTGGTTACCTGCATGTCGATGCGCAGAGAAGTTCAGAATCTCCCAGGGGGCCATGGGATCCTGCATCTTTTTCCCGGGCGGGTGGCAGCGAGTGGGTGTGACTCAGTGAGGAAGGTGGTATTGGTGCCATGCTGTGGGGTGTCACGGTGCTGGCAGTGATTAAGCAGGATCAAGGAGCGCCACGCTGCCTATGTCTACTTTCTGGGGAAGAAGTGGATGTTGTGAGTGGGAAGCTTATCTACTGGCTGCAGGGCCTGAGCCTTGGCTCTCAGCAGAGGCTGGATGGAAATCTAAACGACCATGCCTGGAGAGTAGAGGAAGGGTGGCGGGTCTGGTACAGCCTCCTGATTAGTCCACATGGTGTCCTGCCCTGAGAGCCAGCTGCACGGTCAGACCGCTGCTGGATCCAGGAAGAAGGAGGCCTGTCCCTGGAGGGGTGAGGGGCTGGCACTGTGGCAGCAGCACGGGGTTGCAGGCAGAAGTGTGACCTTCAGGGGCAAAGGGAGGCAGTCTCTGCTGTGCTCACCGGTCTCTGCCCTGGAGGACCCTCTAGGCGAGGCCTGACATCACCAGGCTCCTGCTTCAAGGACTGAGTGTCCACTGGCTGCCCAGTGGGTTCCACCCAGAAGGAAAAGCACGTAGTGAACACCTGCAGCCTGCACGGTCCTGCCTTATCCTCGAAATGATGCCGTGACAAATAGGCCTTGTGGCCAGTTGTTCCCGGGAGGCGTTTGAGGCTCAGCCAAGCTCAGCAGGCCAGATCGCACAGTGAGAAGATAGCGAGACCAGTGAGGGGTGTGGGAGCGTCGACATCACTGCTGCCCAGGTCTGCTGTTCCCACGCTGCTTGGTGATTTCCCTACTCCCCAGAAGTCATGCTTGGGAACAACTCCCTGGAGGGGACGCCCAGGAAGGACACAGACCAGCTTCCTCCTTCACCTGCGCAGGGGGAGGGGCTGGTCACCATCAAGCACCTGGACTGTGGCCTCCCTGCCCAGGTGCTCCTCTCATGGGGCGGGTACAAGGCAGCGCCAGGCTGGCTCTTCTGCAGTGCTGGGTTGGGGGTCTGACCCGGCACTGGTGGTGCCCGGGGTTGGTAGTCTAACCTGGTGCTGATAGTACTCTCAGCAGTTTCTGGTCATGGTGAGACCATGTGTCTCCTTCGTGACAGCTAACTGGAGCTGTCTTCCTGGAACCCAGAGAAGCTTTGGAAAGACTGTTACAGGAAGAACGGCATTGTGAGTTCTGAGACCTGTGATGGGGTGGGAGCAGTGCGGCAGGAGTCAGGAAACATAAGCCACAGCTAGAGCCCCCGGGCAAGGGTCCAAGGACATGGTGCAGGGACCAGCTCCTCCAGTGGCCTGCATACACAGGTAGATGCCTTCTGGTGTAATCTGCAGATTTCACTGACTTGGTGAAATGTTAACCATAGGCAGAGATGGGGCTGAGCTGAGCTGGCACTTTGCTCTGCCTGTCTGGGCCATGAGCATGGAGAGCCCTGAGAAAAGTTGCTGCACAGTTAGTTGTGGCTGCTGTATAGCCTTTTAGTTCATGAAGCCTCAGCTGTGTGTTGTCAGGACAGTACCGTGCCAAGAGGTTGAACAGAGGTGAAAACGGCCTGGGGAGTGTGCGGCTTTGTGCGTGTTGCCAAGGGCTGCCTTAAGATACCACACACAAAAAGCTTCAGGTAGCATGAAGCTCTGCTCCCTGAACTCTGAAATCTGGGGCTGGCATGCTGCCAGCAAGCTGTGCTCTTTCTGCAGTCTAAAGGGGGTCCTTCCTGCCATCCTTTCTGCCTTTGCCTCAGTCTGCTGGTCTGCAGCCCTGCCTTTGGTGCTGTGCCTGACCCTTTGGGAGTCCTTGGGTCTGTGACAGAGGGCTGTGCTCCCATCCACGCTGCCCGCCTCGCCACCCCAGCCTGGCCCCAGCACCAACACCATGAGACTGGGAAGAGAAGCAGCGTGGTGACAGCATGAGGGGTCTATGCTCCCAGCCCAGTCAGGGCCGCAGCTGAGCGGCTAAGTGCCCAGGACCTGCCTGGCCGGGACTAGGTTAATCTGCAAGGGCCCCAGGGCCCCGCCATTGGGCGGTGGCCATTGTGGGCAAGGGTTGGGTATGGCTGGGGGTGGTCCTGGTGGCTGCTGCTGTACTGTGACTTGTGGTCCCTGAAGCCCTGGCTGAGGAGTGTCCTGGGTGTGTCCCCTGGCCTGCAGTGTGTGGGGTGTGTGTTGCTCCAGGTGCTTTCCCTACAGCAAGGTCTGCATGGGGGAAACCCATCCCAGTTGTCTTGGTGTGTGACACAGGCACTGTGGGAGGGCAGCTTGTTCCTCATGGCCGCACAAGGGAAGGCCACCGTGGTCCCCTGTGAAGGCCACAGTGACTTTTGCTGTTTCAGAATGCTGGGGGTAAGGGTAGATGGCTGCATGGATTCCTTTTGTCCTGAGAAAGTGTGGGTGCTCTCACGGGGTTCAACCCTTTCGACTTCATGTGACCTGCCCAAGACCCCACTCCAGATTCAGTCCCTGTGGTGAGAACTTGCAAGGCTCCTCCCTCAGACACCTCCTCTGCACGCCTTTCCTGAGGGAGCCCATACCCTCCTTTGTGACATGTGGTGCTCCCCATGTGAGGGTGCAGTGTTCTTCATGTGAGCTGTGTGGCTGGTGTGGCCTTTCCTGACTTGTCTAACCTCTTCCTCATTTCTTGTCTGCCTGCTCCAGGCCAGTGCCTGCTGGACCCCCTCCCCTGTTCCTATGTCCCAGCTCTCTGTCACTCCTTGTGTGCCTGCTCCAGGCCAGTGCCTGCTGGACCCCCTCCCCTGTCCCTGTGTCCCAGCTCTCCGTCACTCCTTGTGTGCCTGCTCCAGGCCAGTGCCGGCTGGACCCCCTCCCCTGTTCCTATGTCCCAGCTCTCCGTCACTCCTTGTGTGCCTGCTCCAGGCCAGTGCCGGCTGGACCCCCTCCCCTGTCCCTGTGTCCCAGCTCTCCGTCACTCCTTGTGTGCCTGCTCCAGGCCAGTACCTGCTGGACCCCCTCCCCTGTCCCTGTGTCCCAGCTCTCTGTCACTCCTTGTGTGCCTGCTCCAGGCCAGTGCCTGCTGGACCCCCTCCCCTGTTCCTATGTCCCAGCTCTCTGTCACTCCTTGTGTGCCTGCTCCAGGCCAGTGTCAGCTGGACCCCCTCCCCTGTTTCTAGTGTCCCAACTCTCCCTTACACCTGTCTTACTCTTGCTTTCTCAACCTTGGCTGTGCTTCCCACTCTCAGTTTTCCCTAACCCTTTCCTTTCCTCCCACTACCCCAACTGCTAAGGCTGGTGCCTCACTCTCTCTTGGTGGTGTTGCACGTTTCATTTCCCCAGGCTCCTAGCAGCTGTCTCCCTGTGGAGCTCCAGGGCCAAGTTCTGTGAGGCTTGTAGTCTGTCTATTCTTGAGCTGCTCAGGGCCATTGCAGTTCCTGCTTGCCTCTTGGTGCACACAGCCAGTTGGCATTGTACTGGGCTGCGTGGTCTCACTTCTGATTCCATTAGATGTAGCCCACTCACCAGGGTAGAAAGTCTTCCAGGGTTTTCTTAGGAGTTCATGGACTGGAATCTGAGAACACCAGGGAGCCTTGTAGCCATGTGGCCGCTGTGAATGAGTTAGAGAAGGTGCCATGTAAGGGACATAGCCTCACAAGAGGCCTGGGTTGTGTCACCCTCCCATACCATCCCTTTGGCCAGGAGCAACTCACAGGCCATGTGACTGGATATGGAGGGCGTGCTTGGGAAATGCCCTGACTGGTGTCCTGCCTCCAGGACTGCTCCCCTCCGCCTCCCTGCATACTGTCACTGGGTGGCTGTGTCCACCCTGAGGCCCCAGGATGAACCCCAGCCATCCTGCCCCAGCTGGCTTATTTCCCAGACTTCTTGGCACAGACCTTGCCCTGGCTGAGTCTCAGCCTGTTCTATGTGCACTGCCCTTGGCAGTATCTCTCTGGTGCTGTCCCAAGGCTGTCTGACTGCTAGCCCCTATGGTCAGGGCCTTGTCTCCAATTACACCCTAGTATCTTGTACAGGGCACACTGAGGAGAGGGACATGAGGTTTGCTATGTGCAGAGAGCACCATGTACATGGTGTTGTGTGCAAAGAACCTTGCACACAGTGCTTGTTCAGGGATCACGGTAGTAAAATGCTGTGTATAGTGAGTGGAGACAGCCTGGACACTGCAAATCTTACCTGTGGTGTCCCATGGTCTATAAAACCCTCTGCCAGGGCCTCACTTTCTGGAAGCTGCTGCCTGCATAACTGCCTTGAGTTCCCAGTTGTCAAACAGGTTGGGTCTCAAAGCCTCAAAGTCCAAGCAAGCTGAGGCCTGTAGTTAGGTGTCTGGGGTGTTGGGTGGTGTCCCCATGGATGGAGCTGAGCTTGTGGGAAGGTGTCATGGTGCTGGGTGGTGTCCATGTGGAGCTGAGTTCTATGGTTAGATGTCCTCGGTGTTTTGTGTTGTCACCTTGAATGGAGCTGAGCTCCCATGGGAAGGTGTCCATGGTGTTGTGTGCTGTTCCCAGGAATGAAGGTGTCTCAGTGAAGATCCCAGGAAAGCTTAGAGCTGACAAACCTTGCATAGTCCTGGGTGGCTGGGACTGGGCCTGTCCTGTCTGTCCTTGTGTGCAACCCACAGTTCCTAGCCAGACACCAGCAGGTGCTCGCTGAGGTTCTGGACTTCCTGAAGGTATGAGCTGGTCCCACGATGGAAGCAATTCACATCTCTTTCACCAGAGAGACTCATTTCATCTGGGAAGGCTTGTGTGCCAGGCCTGTTACGGCCTAACAGGTGGAGTGGGCTGAGTCTCAGGTTTCATATGAGGTTGGTTTTTCCTTGGGGAAGAGGATCACAGACTGAAATCATCTTCAGGGTGATGTCTTATAAGATGGCTGGTTTCCTATTCCAGAAGGGAGGATGTGGCAGGGCAAGGGGTTGGGCAGTGTGTGTGTGGCTTTTTCCCAACCAGGGGCAGTGTGGGCAAAGGTCCCGAGGCAGGAAAGGACTCTGTCAGCCCCACAGAACTTGGGCTGAGAGGGAAGCAGGGCCGAGCGGGCTCTAGATAGCCTCTCTTGGGGTTGTCTGGAGAGTGGAAGCTGTGGGGGGTCTGAGTGGCAGCCCACAGTGGGTGTAGCCACCTGAGTTATGAGGGTGGGTTTCCGTTTAAGAGAGTGATTGGTTTTGAAGCTATGGAGGTTGGTGGACTGAAAAGTGTTCTTAGGTTGTATGTGCTCTCGTAAGAGCTTTTCTTCAGCCCCTGGAGGGCAGGTGTCCTGAGGCTGCAGGCATCTTGGCTCAGGGCCCTTCCCTGTCCCACCTGTAGGAGACTGGAGCAGAACTTCTTCAACTGCAGCTGTGACATCCGCTGGATGCAGCTATGGCAGGAGCAGGGTGAGGCACGACTCAACAGCCAGGACCTATACTGCGTTGGTGCTGATGGCATGAAGCTGCCGCTGTTCCGTATGAACATCAGCCAGTGTGGTGAGTGGAGCCACATGCCAGCAGAGAGTGGGTGTGTGGTAGGGGGAGCTGACTGGTGTGAGGGGAGAGTCAGAGTGGAAAAGGGAGCTGTGTGCCAGCGGGTGTGAGGGAGGGTGGGTATGGTGAGGGGAGCTGCATGCCAGCGGGTATGAGGGGAGAGTGGGTGTGGTAAGGGGAGCTGTATGCCTACTGGTATAGGGGGAGAGTGGGTGTGGTGTGGGAAGCCACGTGCCAGCGGGTGTGAGGGGAGAGTGGATGTGGTAGGAGGAGCTGTGTGCCAGTGGGTGTGAGGGGACAGTGGGTGTGGTAAGGGGAGCTGTATGCCTACTGGTATAGGGGGAGAGTGGGTGTGGTGGGGGGAGCCATGTGCCAGCAGCCTCTGGTGGAGACCTGGTATTGGGGCTGCACATTCGTTTCTTCAGGAGTGGCTAAGTCAGGTTCAGGTGCTTTCCAATCAGCTCCTTCTGGGCCTGGCCTGAGTGCAGCCCTCTGAGAGACCCTGGGAAGCTGAGTTTCCTTAGAGCTGAGAATCTGGGCCTTGACTGATGCCCTGCCTTGCCCTGCATGAAGTTCTTGTGGTGAGGGCTTAATTCTGAGCTGAGCTCTGCCCTGCCCAGGGGAGTAGGACTGTAGTTTCCTGGGAACTCAGGGCACTCCTTCGGAGCTGTTGCTGGGGAAGGTGGGCAGTGCTGCCAGAGCTATGCCCACGTGACAGCCTCTGTCTTTTCACTTGACCCATGCCAGACCTCCCTGAGATCAGTGTGAGCCATGTCAACCTGACCGTTCGTGAGGGGGACAATGCCGTGGTCACCTGCAATGGTTCTGGGTCCCCCCTGCCAGACGTGGACTGGATTGTTACTGGTCTGCAGTCCATCAACACCCACCAGGTAGGCTCCGCAGACATGGCCTTTTGGAGGCTGGGGAGGGGCAGTTGAGGTTGCTGCAGGGGTACACGTGTGGGCTCCTGTTCGCTGTGCTGCTGCCCGGCCACGCTGACCACACAAGGCCTGCTCAGTGTTTGTGAGCCATGTTGTCCGGGTCAGTGAAATAGGGACAGCTCTGCTCTTCATCTCCATGGCCTATGTGAGTGCTGCCTGTGTGTGGGCCTGGGTCAGCATATAGTGGCTCTTACTGTGGGTACCAAGGGTGTGGGCATAGGTGGGCCTGCCCTGGGGAAACTGATCATCACTGTCTCCTGGGGTCTCAGACAAACCTGAACTGGACCAACGTGCATGCCATCAACTTGACCCTGGTGAACGTGACCAGCGAGGACAATGGCTTCACGCTGACCTGTATTGCTGAGAACGTGGTGGGCATGAGCAACGCCAGTGTGGCCCTCTCTGTCTATTGTGAGTGCCCACTGTGGCAGTGTGGCTCAGGGTGGCAACCAGGCGTGGGAGACTTGGAGGGAGCTGGGACAGAGGCCTGGCTCATCTTTGGGCTGCAACCACAGAGAGGAGTTGGGCTGGTCCATCTTGCCCCTGAGGGACTCCAGCACAGGTGGGTCCAGGATGCTGGGAGGAGCCGATGCCTGTCCTTTCTGGGGGTGGTTGGGGGGACCTGGCCTGGGGGATGGGAATTTGTGTCCCAGTTCTGGTGGGTGCTGGGGCTTTAGCTGCTTCTGTCCGCAGACCCCCCTCGTGTGGTGAGCCTGGAGGAGCCGGAGCTGCGCCTGGAGCACTGCATTGAGTTCGTAGTGCGTGGCAACCCCCCTCCTACGCTGCACTGGCTGCATAATGGGCAGCCGCTGCGGGAGTCCAAGATCATCCACGTGGACTACTACCAGGAGGGCGAGGTCTCCGAGGGCTGCCTGCTTTTCAACAAGCCCACCCACTACAACAATGGCAACTATACTCTCATCGCAAAGAACCTGCTGGGCACTGCCAATCAGACCATCAATGGCCACTTCCTTAAGGAGCCTTTCCCAGGTGAGGCAACAGATGGCCCTTAGAGTGTAGGTGGGGGCTGTGTTGGAGGACCCAGCCCCATGGGCCTGGTGTGTAGGGCTGGCAGATGGTCCCTTGTCCAGCACTGGCTACAAGAGGCTGCTCCAGCCAGTGCCTAGGGGCTGTGAGGGAGATGCTAGGGGCTGCAGCAGACTCTTGTCTGGGAAACCCAGACTTGTAGTGCTGCTCTGTAATATCTTGTGCCTCCAGGTTCTGTGTCCTCTTATGACTTGTGGGCTTCTTGTATGGGCCCCTGGAGAGTAGGTGGGGGTACTGCTGCCATCAGTCTCACTCCAGTGGACAAGAGCTGGTGATTGAAGAGGCAGAGGGCTTGTGGACTTGGGTGGAGGGCAGGCAGTGGCCCCATCTGACCAGCACCTGTCTGACATGGGCCTAATGTGGGGAGGAGAGGGCACCCATAGACTGTGAAATTGGCTGCAGTGCCTGTTGCCAGCTCTGTGCAAGAGTGGGCTGCAAGTGTCCCAACAGCCAGGCCAGACCCCTGTCCAACCTGCATAGCTGCCTTGTTTCTCATTATTTGGACATTGGTTGGTTGTTGCCTCCCGGTCTTTGCTGCACTTGTTGAGGGCTCTCAGTTCTACCACTCCTTCTTTCCAGTCAGGGTTCTTCTGCACGGAGCATCTACATTCTACTACTGTGTCCAGCTGTTTCTTCTGTTTCGTGGCAGGTGGCCCTCAGGGGCTGAGGGCCTGAGCTGCACGAGTTCACATCTCACTGCTTCAAAGCTGTGGTCTGAGGTCACCGAATGGGCAGGGCTGGGTCCTCCTGTTCCTGGCAGGCAGATGCTGGCTTCTCCCCATGTCCTCACAGGACCGTCCCTCTGTGTGTCTGTGTTCAGATGTCCTCTGCTCTGGGACGGAAGTCACCCCGGGTTAGCAGTCATGCTTGGTCTCACGTTGGGTGTCTCCAGGTGTAGTGACCTTCTGGGCTTCTGGGGCATTTGGGGCCATGTATCCCTGGTAGATGGTCTGTGGCAGTTACTGTTCCCTTGCTCAGATTCCTTTTTTTTTTTTTTTTAAAGATTTATTTATTTATTGGAAAGTCAGATATACAGAGAGGAGGAGAGAGAAAGATCTTCCGTCCGATGATTCACTCCCCAAGTGAGTGCAAGGGCCGATGCTATGCCGATCCAAAGCCATGATCCAGGAACCTCCTCCGGGTATCCCACATGGGTGCAGAGTCCCAAGGCTTTGGGCCATCCTCGACTGCCTTCCCAGGCCACAAGCAAGGAGCTGGATGGGAAGTGGAGCCGCCGGGACTAGAACCGGCGCCCACATAGGACCCCAGCGCGTCCAAGGCGAGGACCTTAGCCGCTAGGCCTCGCCGCTGGGCCCCTTGCTCAGATTCTTACACGTTGGCCTTAGGACCCTCTGGCTCAGCTCCAGTTGCCTTGACAGGTCCTCTTGAGCTGCACGCTGACCTCACAGGCAGCAGCTCCATGTCACAGCGCTGGTCCTCTATTTAAATACACCCAGAATTGCATGGGAGGTGTGAGGTCTGTTTCCTGTCTTCTGTAGTCTCCAGATCGTTCTCTACAATACTGGGTTTTGGGGCTCCTCTTTCTTCACTTTCTCACAGCACTTGTCACTTTCTGTCGTTTTGGGCAGTCGCTGTGATTAGAGCGAGAGGCTGCTGCACTCTGGTTTCGATTTGCTTACCCCTGGTGGCCATTAGTCTGCTCACACCCTTTGCCTCTGAACTGATTGTGTCTTTCTGTTGGAGTGTCCGTTTTCCTTCCGTCCCTTGTGTATTGTGGACATTAATCCTCTGTTAGATGAAACATTTGCAGGTGTCCTTTCACCCTGCTGATGGTTCCCTTTGTTGTGTAAAAGCTTCTTGCCTTGACTTCGTCCCTTTTCTGCAGTTTGGGTTTTGTTGCAGTGCATTTGGGTTTGTTCCAGAAAGCATCCTTGTGCCCATGTTGTTGGGGTGGTTCCAGTTTTTTTCTGGTAGGTTTATGGTTTTAGGTCTAGCATTTGAGTTTTTATAATTTCGAGTGAATTTGTATACTAGATGAGACCTTGGTTTCCAGTTTCGTGCTGTTTATGAATCTGTACTCTCCCCACACCATTAACTGAGTGACTACCCTTTCTCCAGTGAGTGTTTTGACATCGTTGTCAAATGTGAGTTGGTGCAGATGTGTGGATTAACTTCTGGGGTGTCTGCCCTGCTGGTTGGTGAATCTGTTTCTGTGCCGGTGCCATCCTGTTTGGGTTCCTGGGTCTCTGTGGTGTGTGTTGCAACCTGATGGTATGATGCTTCTGGCCTTTGTTGGTTGTTGCTGTGGCCGTCCATGCTCTGGTTTCCACATGGATGTTGGGATTTTTGTCCTTTAGTTCTTTGGAGACTGTCATTGATGTTTTTGTGGGGATTGGGCTGAATCTGTCAATGTCTTTGGGCAGTAATGGGCATTTTAATGATTTCAGTTCTCCCAGTCTATGAATGCATGAATTCTTTCCATTTTTTAAATGTTTCACCTGTGTTTTGTAGTTGTCATGGTAGAACTCTTTCATTTTCTGGTTAAATGTATTCTGGAGTTTTTAATGGCTCTCTGCAGCTTTTAGGACCGTACTGAGTGAGAGCAGTGGGACTGTTCACTCTTGTGTCTTCACAGGGATAATGCTTCTGGTGTCTCCTTGTTCATTGTGATGTTGATGATAGGTTTTCCTCATTGTCAGTATTGTGATGAGCACTGTGTGATCTGATCAGGGTGCCAGTCATGAACGGGTGTCAGACTTGACTAATGGCTTTTCTGCAGCTGTTGAGATGGTCACACATTCTGCTAATGTGGTTGTTCATACTCACTGATCTGTGTGTGGTGAACCATGTCTGCATTCTGAGGGGAAATCCCACCTTTGATATGTTGTATTTCATTTATTGTTTTTTTTAAAGATGTATTTATTTTTATTGGAAAGTCAGATTCACAGAGAGAAGAAGACACAGGGTGAAAAATCTGTCTGCTGATTCGCTCCCCCAGTGATGGCACCACCAGAACTGAGCTGATCAGGAGCCAGGAGCTTCTTCTGAGTTTTCCACACCAATCCAGGGTCCCAAGGCTTTCAGTTGTCCTCTACTGCTTTCTCAGGCCTGATTTACGGATATTTTGTTGAGAATGTTTGTATCTAAGTTTGTCAGAGCTTTTGAGCTAATCATTTTGTTGTTGTCATGGCCTTGTCTGGTTTCAGAATCTAGGTGGCCTTGTAGAACAAGTTTGGCAGATTTCTTTCCCTTCCAGTATTTTTGGGATAGTTGGAGAATTAATGTCAGTTCTTGATTAAAAATCTGGTTGAGCAACAGGCGTCTGGAATAGCAGTTCAGACACTGTTTGGAGATCACTTCATCCTGTAAAGGACTGCCTAGGTTGGACTCTGAACTCTGGCCCGTGAGTCTTACTTCGTGCTCACACATGCTCTGATGGATAGATCAGGTAGTTGGGTTCCTGCCCCCATGTGGCAGACTTGGGTTGAATTCCTGCCTTCCAGCCATGGCCTGGCCCAGCCTTGGCTGTTGTGGGTATTCGGAGAGAGAACTAGTGCATGGGTGTATAACCATCTCTCTGTCTTTTCTGCCTTGCAAAATATAAACAAACAAACAAACAAATAAGAGGCTTGTTTTAACTCATGGTGGGTCTTCTGGCCTGTGGCTTTTTAAGTTGGAACTCCAATCTTACTATTCATTATTGGTCTGTTTGGGTTTTCTTTGTGTTCATGCTGAAATTTCAGTAAGTTACATGTACTCAGAAATACACCATTTCTTACGAGTTTTCAGATTTGCTGGCCTGTTGTCCCTAACAACCCTTTGTGTCTGTGGCGTCAGTTGTGGTATCTCCTTTCTGTCTCCAACTTTTGAGTCTTCTCTCTTTTTTATAGTTAGTCTAACTAAAGGTTTACCAATTCTGTTCTTTAAAAAATCCCAGCTTTTTATTTCACTGATAATTTTAAAAAAGATTTGTTTTAGTTTTATTGCAAAGTCAGATATACAGAGAGGAGGAGAGACAGAGAGTAAGATCTTCCATCTGTTGATTCACTCCCCAAGTGGCTGCAATGGCTGGAGCTGAGCCAATCTGAAGCTAGGAGTTTGTTCCAGGTCTCCCACATGGGTGCAGGGTCCCAAGGCTTTGGCTGTCCTTGGTTGCTTTCCCAGGCCACAAGCAGGGAGCTGGATGGGAAATGGGGCCACCATGATTGGAACCCTAAGCATAACCATAACCCTAATCCATATGGGATCCTGGTACATGCAAGGCGAGGACTTCAGTCGCTAAACTGCTGTGCTGGGCCCTTCATTGTTAGTTTATATTTAAATCTCTATTTCATTTATTTTTGCTTTGATTCTTCTTATTTATTTCCTTCCAGTAATTTTGGGTTCTTTCTTCTAGATTATTCAGATGCAGTGTTCTCTTTATTTGATATCTTCCCTTTTTTTAAACATTGGTACTTACTGCCATGAAGTTTTCCCTTAGAACTGCTTTTCTGTATCCTGTCACTGGAATGTGTTGTGTTTCTATTTTTTTTTTATTGTTTCCTTAATATATCTGATGTAAAAGGGCATTTTAAGGGAGAAACCCCACCCAGTCTCCCACCTACCCCAGGTCCCGGATGTGGGGCTTGCTTCAAGGGTCTTTCTCAATTGGTCTTGATAGTTCAACAGTTATGAATTGCTGCCAATCTCTCCACTCCAAGCACGATGAGGTCATTGAAGAATCCACTGATTGACATATTCCAGAGTCTCCATTTGCCCAGTTTTTCGCTGCCAACGTATAGCTGAGGTGGTTGATTGACTACTTCTGTCCTCTGTCATTTGATGGTTAGCGTTCTGAGTCCGAAAGCTCAATTGGGGGGGATCCCCAAAGAAACTTTGTCTGAGGTGTTCCCAGACCAGATTCTTGTATGTGCTAGCAAGCACAGGGCCTGGCACAGTCCATCGCCCCAATCAGCTGGTGGTTGTAATTACAGGGTTGATTC